ACTCTTTCCAACAGGTTAGAGAAGTGACTCACTCCACTTATTTTGCTCAATTTAGTAGGAGTAATGTATGTTCTAAGTACAATCTTTAGTTTGTATTTCCTCATTCATTAAGTATCAAGAGCAAGGCAGTACCTAATTCTACATTTTGTAGATGTGGAGGGGTAGAAAATAAATGTTGGCCAAATACAAAAGAATTAAAATTTGACAAAAGAATGTTATGCTCAGGCTGCAAGAATGAGTTGAATGACAGAACAGAACACTTGTAATTGTGACAGCATCCTTTTCAAATCAGTTTCCTAAGAGTTCGTGGTGTTTGACTAGTTGATAAGTATCATATTCACTTAGGATGCATTTCCTGCAAAGGCTGGTTAGTGAAGTAGAGGCAGCAAAGTGAATGCCTTGGAAGGTGGAATGAATGATCTTCCCCTGTCTTTTAGCTACCTCAGTCATGGCTCTGAACAGAAACCCAGTGCAGATGGGTTGAAGACTTGAAGGGAGACTGAAAAGGAGGAGAGACAATGCAATAAGGATATTTACGGTCCTCTGAGAAATACAGTCTCCTTTAGCCTCCTTCCCCTTCTCCAGTATTATTAGGCAACTACTCCTCTTTCTCAGGTATCAGATTTTATTCAAACAGTGTGTGGGAACGGAGGATGTCTTCTTTGGGATGAGCAGGAAAGACCCCTCCACAGCCTGCTGTGAAGATATGGTGGTGAGCTGAGTCTGTATCCCCCAACCCTTCTTTGTGTTCTTTCTCTGCCCTTTTCAATCTTGCCGCTTTCTTGAGGGACAGAATGTAAACACCAAGCTGTATTGCTGCCTTTGGCCAGATTGGTAGGATTTTCTTGTAGTTCTTCAAGCATTTGTAGATGATATTTACACTTGCTAACCTGAGGAACTCATGTGTATCTCCTCAAGGACCTAGCGTACTCAAGATAATCTGTGCCAAATGCATATGCTACATACAGACTTGAGGGAAATAAAAAGTAGCTCTAAGATGAAGTTTCATCTTGGACATAATTTTGGAGGGGAGAGGGCCTGGGAAGGAGATACTTTTTATCTGCCTGCATTTATTACAAGGTATGTGAATTAGCAGAATGCTACAATACTGACAGTCTTTAAAGTTACAGGTATCAGTTCCTGTCCCATTATTGTATGATTGAAGACCTCCCTGCTTTCTGAACTTCAGGACAGGTAGAACTGCTGTGTAATTTTTCTAGTAGAAGTAAGCTGTCCTTGGAATACACAAAACCAGGGGGTTTTGCTGGATGTAGAATACCTGTCAAGTACATTATCAGCTCAGGATTTTGAAGAAAATAGGATATCAATACACATAACTAAGCTATTGAAAGCAATGACTATCACTGTCATATTTTCTCTGATACAAATGACCTACTCAGAATGTTGCTCTTTGACACTCGCATCAAAATACACATGCAGATGAGATCTTTTATGGCTTGTAGGGCTACATATCTAATCACAGCTTTACCACTGCCCATCATTTCAGATTAAAATCAAGCTGCCAGAGACAAAGTACTCGGACATCACATTAGATATCCAGGACAAGGTTCTTGACCTTCGAACTCCCAAAAAGTAAGTGAAACACAATTGATAGAAGTGCAGTTGATATCTTGTTTGAAAGGAGGTTTAACCAAGCCTTTCCACACAGCATTCAGTTGAACCAAAGCTAAAGATGAAGATCGGATTATTAATTGCACATGAGAAATAGATACAGACAAAAACAACCATAATCCATCTGTAGGTGTATAGTGTGCTCGCTTTGAATCTGTGATACTGTTCTAGCACAAATAGCTTTAAGAAAGATTTTGGCTACTTAAACAGCAAGGCTTCAAAGGCCCAGAATGTCTGGCAAAAAACTGCCCGTGGTCTTGAAGGACTTCTTGGGATTTTGATTTCTAAATACTAATTTGTACAAATATATAACTGAAGATGGTCAAAAACTTGCAGATAGATTTTCAGAAGCTGAAATCCAAATTGTGGACATATCAAGGCATGGATGCAGAGGTGGAAATGTTACAGGGTTTCCCTAAAGAGATTTCCTTTGAGTTCTTTTTTTATAGGGCTATTTCAAACCTACAAAGATAATCAACTGACTGGTATACTCTCAGACTTCTCAGTCTTCCTCCATATTTCCCTCAGTGTGCAATTGCCTTGCCTGAGGTTTCCAGATAATTCCCATGTCTGTTTTGCTTTAAGTCCTTCTTCACAATAGGGTGCTTTCATAAGAAAGCTTAATCCTCTCTGAGCTGACTTGCTGCATTGAATGGGATGTGGGAAGATCCATATGTGATTAGCTTCCTGCAAATGAATTCAAGGTACAGGCCTTGGATTAAGGCCCAAAAAAGTTCTGTCCCTACTGGACTAACTATAGGAAAGCCACCTTTCTCACAGACAAAACCAGGCTGAGTTGGTTACCCCCTGCTTGGATTTAACCCAAAGATGCAACAGGAGTGGAAGAATGTTTGGAAGTGCTAGCTCTGAAACTGGAAAATCAGGAGGAATAATTGTTCAGCTAATGACTTGCAGAACCTATAGGTAGTAAAAGAGGTAGCTTAATGCAATACTGCAGATGTTGGAAAACCTCAGCATCCTTTTTCTTTTGCAATTCTATCTTTTTGGTGACTCGGATCTGCCGTTATCTTCTTAGTATCCAGCTGTCTCTAGTCACAAGCCTAGCAAATAAAAAGTTTGCCATAAATCTAATGGTTGCTTGGGTATAGCCTGAGCCAGTGCTGCTTTCACAAATATAAGTGCAAGTCTTCTCAGTATGAAAGAAACAAACAAGATTTCAAGTTCTACACACTGAAAAAGACTGTACTCTGACAGATGTGTAGGAGAGCTCAAAGGAACTGTTTCCAACCCCGTAGACATGGGTCTGATTCTAAGCCAAGCCAATTTTAGGGACTTCTTCAAATTACAGCAAATGGCTGCCTTCAGTAGGTGTGGTGCAAAGGTGTTTTAACTGTACCCCTTTCAGCCATGGCTCCTACAAGACAGATGAAAAGGTCTGAAAAAGAATCACATGACTTAAATCCCAGTTTAAAGTAACCCACATCTATGCTACCATGTTGTCTTGTTGGGCTTTATAGAGTTTGGCTGGGCAGATCTCTTAGTTCTAAAGTGTCCTTGATTCTGTTTGCACTGGCAATAGAGTGGAGGTCCAAGACTGGCCCATCATTCTTATTGTCAATATATAAGCCTGGGATAAGAGGGGAAAGAGTCCAAACTCTGCATGAGTGAGTAAGTAAATTTGAGCTATTGTCAATGAGAAGAGTTGAATGGGTCCAGTCTGAGACATCCTTGTGAGGAGATCAACTGGAAGGCTTGTCAGCCATTCCAGGAAAAGCTGTATGTCTAACATAGCGAGGGACTGTGGAATAATTCCTGAATCCAAGATCCAGCCTTTCTTTGTGTATTAAGTGCCTGAGCCACAGGTAGGGGATCACTGAATTAATCTTCAATGTAGGTTAAAATCCCAGCAACTTCATAACTGTAAGTCCATTCTCATACCTGAACTGTGCTTTGCAGTGTAGACATATCCTTTGTGAAACTGGACTGGCCAGAATCTCTAATCAGGCTGCACCACTTATTTTACTAGAGAAGACAAAAGCCTGAAGACACGTTCAGGCTTTAGGCATTATTCAGACTTTTACCACCAGGAGAGCATTATCAATGCAGCTCCTCCTTCCTCTGCATTTAAAATGCAGCACTGTGCGAAAGCAAGAAGAGTGGAGAGAGCCCACAATCCATCACTGGAAACCACTGTCATAGCCACAAACCAAAAGAAAGGAATAGTGTTGGAAATATTTCAGGGCCTGTATAGTTGTGCACCAGATACTGCAGGAACCCCACAACCTGTCACAAGAATGAGATATACTGAAAAAACATTCCTTGGTGTAGTGGTTCGCAAATTGCAAGAGTAACTGGCAATGCCATCTCAAGCACTCACCCCATCTGAGACATTGAAATTCTCTGTGTCCTCTTTTACAGGAAGCTGCTGCTGCACCTCCCCTACCGTGTAGACAGCAAGAATGGTAAAGCTCGTTTCCTCTCTGAAGAGGAGACCTTGGAAGTCACCTTGAGAGTATCAAGGAAGTTTGATTTCATAAATTTTTTCTGATGGATAGAGAAATAGAGAAATTTTGTGAAAAGTAATCTCTTGGTTTGAAGTCTTCTTGAAACTTAACTGGTCATGAAATAGTAGATTGTTTCCCTTGAACAGTCCAGTGGGAATATCCCTGGAGAAATTCAATGAGTCAGGAGGAACATAGCACCCATAGGTTCTATAAGCTGAGGCTGTCCAGCTCTTGCGCTGCTCTGGTTAACATTCTGCTTCCTTCAGTCTGATACAGGCTATGTGAATCAGAAAATAGGAGATTACAATTGTGTAAGCAAGAGAAAGTCTTTTTGTGGTTATGGCTGATAAGTAGCACAATGAGGCTCTGGCCAGTGAGTCTGGTGCTTAGTTGCTGTTGCAAGACTTGCAAGTGGTAATATTCTTGCTTGGCCTCCAATGCTGGGACTGGGGCCAGTTCAGAATCTCCTCTTAGCTGCTTCTTGATGAGAAGATCAAAGCTCATTAGGGATCCATATCCACATCTGAGGCTCCTTTACGCTGGCAAAACAAGGTAACCAACTATAGTTGGATTGTTGAACCTCTCAGCTCTTTTGAACAATTTTTGACAGTGTATGGTTCAGTGTCATCTATTCACCAGCTGTACCTCCAGCTATTTTTCTGGTCTTTCTTGGTTAATAAAACAATGTGTTCTAATGAACAGTTCCAGTTATCTTTCACTCTGCCTTCTCTATATTATGTCCCGAGAGACTTCCTAAAAGTGAGATAAGAGGAACTTTGCATAACAAAGCATCATCTAAAGGGCTGAAATGTGGCAAAAGCTTTTCTTTGGCCTTCAGGTCCAATCGAGAGCTACAGAGATGGGTAACCAAAATGTTTCTTTTACTAGCTGCTGGGCAAATATATTCATTTAACATTGTTAATCATGCAGGAAACAAAGGTATTTGCTCAATGATCAGTGTAGAGAGGACAAGCAGGGCCTTGCATGTTGATGGACTTTAGGTACACTTAACCAGAAGCTTGTAAGCACTTTAAAAACAAAATGGCTTGGGTCATGCATTCTTATAATTGACCAGCTAGGTTGCAGACAGTACCCATGCAGCTAAATTTGTGGCAGGCTGTAATGAGAAGATGAATTCTCCATGATAGATTGAAGACACTGACAGTGAGTTTCCAGGTATATTTTTTTGTTTTGTCAGGAATTTTCAGAATTCACAGTATGTTTGTAATGTATTGCATGATAACTCTAGGACAAATTAAGCTGGTCTCTGGACATTTCGTAGAATCATAGAATCATAGAATCGTTTAGGGTGGAAATGACCTTTAAGATCATCCAGTCCAACCATTAACCT